CAGCAGCTAATAGAAGCACACATTGCACCGCCACATGCCGCAGGTGTTCGGCTAGTCCTTCCTCGGTCTGAGATAAAGCTCGTGGGGTTCCCGGAAGGAAAGTCAAAATCCAAAGTCAATTTCTGTTTTGATACTTATCGGGCACTCAAGCGAATTGCCCAGTGCCCAGTGCCCCAAGGTTCTAGATTAAACGATGAGTCCATCTCGCTCGTCCGCTTGCGAGATTATCTGATGCCCGAGAGCGGTTTTCTGAAGTCCAGCGCGCCTATATCAGCAAAACCTGACCCCTGCGTGTAGTCTATGTCCTTGATGTGTTCGCAAGTGTCCTTTGCATTAATAAGATAACAACCGATAGCCTACACAATTGAAGAGCTTTTAGGGTCTGGACCAGACCTTCCGAATCTGCAGGAAACTGTTCTTGGCTTGCCTGAATTTGACAGCATGGACTTGTCGATATGACCTTAAAGATAACAGAGCAGAGCGACCGAGTGCTGAGGGACAACAGCTACTTGTAATATGAAAATGAGAGACTCTGTGTTGACATTCGGTCTTCGTTCTCATTCTTGTTGATTTCTATGAAGCGAGGGCGACCGATTTAAGCTCACATCATATCTGAAACGAATGACGGAATCCTCGAGCTCTCACCGAGGCTCGTGCTACAACCAATCAAATTTCCAAAAATAGCCTAGGCTTCTCCACTAGAAAGGAAGGCCCAAGCGGCTGAATCGCAAGGGCACGTGATACATGCTGAGTGACGTGCGAAGAGGCAGGAGTGACGGGTGAAGTGGCAGGCGCAGTAGTAGCAATAATTTCGACTGTAAGTCATTGCATCAGACAACTTCATTGGATTGTCATGGAGCTGACGGTTTGTTCTTCACGTTGAGTTGATTGAGCTGAATGCCGCCGCCGTCAATCTGATCTCGACCCGATATCGCGCTAAGAGGCTAGCGGCGAGCGCATCCCATCCCATCCAGTTCTCGTCAGAACCAAGCCCAGGCAAACAACGAACGTCCAACAATTCGGGACGGCAGCGTCAGAACAATACGGCGCCTCGCGAACAACGAATCCGGAAAGTAAACAGAGTCGCGTCTACCTCAACCTAATCAGATCTTCCGCCACTCAATCACCTGCCTTCAGAAGACGCGCGCGCGATCGGGTACGGGCGCAAATCGCAAAACCACAACCGTGGCGACGATCACCACCGAAACTCTTGCAACGACAATAGACATCGCACCATCCTCTGAAGACTACTCTGTGGAGAACCTCGACGGGGAACTACAACCTCTGATGATGGCACAAGCGGTGCCTAACCCGCCGAATGACAAGAAGAGAGTGAAGGTCTACGAGCTCAAGAATAATGACTGGTTCGATAGAGGCACAGGCTTCTGCGTTGCCTCCTTCATCTTTGTACGTCTGGCGTTTCCTTATATGCCACTTGCATGCGCTCTTGCAACGACGCGGAGTTGTCTTGCTGTGGATACTGTGCTAACTCCTATCCCACAGAATGAAGTAACCCGTCAAGAGGAACCCCGCGTGCTTGTACAGTCGGAAGATGAACCAGACAAGATTCTTTTAGAGACTCGCATCTGCAAAGAGGATTCATTTCAAAAGCAACAAGGTACAGAGGATTGGCAAGCCTTGTTTAAGGGCCTGTGCTGATTCATACACAGATACACTCATAGTATGGACCGAACCAACAACTTCGGTGGATATGGCCCTCAGCTTTCAGGAGGGAGAGGGCTGTGCTGCTATCTGGTCAGTCTAAATGCCTCTCTGAGGAGATAACAGCAAAGAGTCATGGCTAATATCAAAGAAGGAAATTTATCCATAATATCCAACAACAATTGCTTGCGATCGCAGGACCAGGTACGTTCGACGCAAAACTTGCTACTGCAAAGTTGCTAACTGAACTTCAAGATGACGCCCTATCCGACGACATTTCTACTGATCCTTTCAGCAACACTCTCTCCCTCCCCAACCCCGGCTTGGGCAATCTCGCGGAAATCGAATCACAAGTGCGCAGTTTGCATGCTTCTCCCCAGGGACGGGAAGCATTGATGAAGTACGTCCTCAATGAAGACTATATTCCAAAGTTGATACCATTGGTGGAAATGGCGGAAGATATGGAGGACTTGCCGAGTCTTCACCGGCTGTGCAATATCATGAAGACGGTCATCTTGCTCAATGACCCCAACATAATGGACCTTGTGGTCTCAGACGAGCTGATTCTTGGTGTGGTGGGAGCTTTGGAATATGATCCAGACTTCCCAAGTCATAAGGCGAACCACCGACATTGGCTGAGCAAGGAAGGAAGATACAAAGAGGTTGTGCATATCGATGATGAAACTATTCGGAAGAAGATCCACGCCACGTACCGACTGCAATATCTCAAGGATGTTGTGCTAGCCCGGATCCTGGACGATCCTACTTTCTCTGTGCTCAATTCTTCGATTTTCTTCAACCAGGTCGATATCGTTGGACACTTGCAGACGAATCCCGCCTTTCTCAAGGAGTTGTTTGGAGTATTTGGACCACAAGAAACGGATCAGGAACGGAAGAAAGAGGCTGTATTGTTCATTCAGCAATGTTGCGCCATTGCCAAGAATATTCAGCAACCTACGAGACAGCAGCTTTACAATAACTTCCTTGGCCATGGATTGCTATCAGTAATCAACTTTGCCCTTCGGCACAGCGATGTTGGCGTTCGAGTGGGAGCGACGGATGTTCTGGTCTCCATGATCGATCATGATCCACAAATGATTCGCCAAACCATCTTTCGCCAAATCAACGAGAAACAGACACCTCTCACAGACTCTTTGATCGATCTCCTCCTTGTGGAAGCGGACCTTGGAGTCAAAGCACAAATTGCGGATGCGATCAAAGTTCTGCTTGACCCAGGATCGCAGAATGGGCCGCTTGACAATATGTCTAGAGGTAACGGAGATATTCCTGGCAGAATGCGACCACAACCTGATCCCCAGCAAGCCGAATTCGTAAAGGACTTCTATGATGATTCCGCAAAGAAGCTATTCAAGCCTCTGGTAGACTTGAAAGATCGAGACAACATGGATTTCAGTGTTCATCAAGTATCCCTCTTTATCTATCTCATCGAGATACTCTGTTTCTTCGTCAGACAGCACACTCATCACAGCAAATACTTCGTACTCTCCGAGAAGCTGGGCCAACGTATCGCGCAGCTTCTCAAGAGTCCGGAGAAGTACCTACGTCTGAGTAAGTACTGGTCCCATTCTCCACTGACCAATGCTAATACGCCAGCAGCTGCCCTCAAATTCTTCCGCAATCTTATTGGGTTGCAAGATGAGTTCTACAATCAACAGATGACCCAAGGAAAGCTTTTCGAGCCGATATTGGACCTAGTTATCGAAACAATGCCACGTGATAATCTCTTGAATTCAGCTTGTCTGGAGTTTTTCGATTTCATCAAGAGGGAAAATATCAAGAACATCATTAGTCATTTGGTTGAGAATTACCGGGAGAAGCTGGCAAAGATCACATATGTCGATACCTTCAACAACTACATCATTCGGTACGATCAGACACAGGGTTTTGCTTCGAACATGGAGACTTCATTCTTAGACACTGAGGAGGATACCCCGAAACGGCCAGAAACAGGCAGAGGAACCAGGTGGGAGGGAATCAAGGATCTCGATGCCCAAGAGGAAGAATACTTCAATACTTCGGACGAGGAGGATGATGTGGCAGTCAAGGCATCAACAAATCGACCGGCCGCTAACGGTGCATCGCCCGCGTCAAAACCTCTGGTTGACTACAATTCTGACGAGGAGAACGAAAATATGGACACTGATCTTTCCGCCGGAATCCTGGAAGACACGGATGAGAATACACCTCCCACTCCTTCGCCAAAGGACAGCAGCAATGGTGTGCTGACTCCCGTGTCATCGTCCGCCCCCTCGCCTCCCGAGAAGCTCTCGGAGAAACGCCGTCGCGAGGAGGAAGACGATGACGAGATGAGTAAGCTCACGCAACCGAAGCGCCGAAACTCATCTAGCTCTGTAGCATCCAACACAAGTAGTGTGTTGAGAAGGAAGAAGAGTTTCAACAACCAAAATGGAGCTACCGGTGGCAAGAACAAGATTGCCATTAGTCTTTCTCCAGCTATCAAGACCGGTGGTGACAGTCCAGGAGGAGACGGCGGCAGTTGAAAAAGTCATGTTCATTTGCAACAAGCTGTTAGGGCATCGAATTCAGCAAGCAGAGAGGGCGGCGTCTTGCTATGAAGGTGTACGGAGTTTTGGTTGAGTGATGTTATTATGAGATGCCCATTTTCATCTGGCTGTTGCTTGGCTAAGGGGTTTCTAATGAACGAGCGAGACGGAGCATCTTATCATCACGATCACGGATTTGCTTGTTACGTGTATTATAGATGGGCTGGCTGGGGACACGAGAGATGATGCAGATAAAGATACCGTCTGTGTCTCACGACGTAGACTGAATGAACATTTGACAAGCACGGTTCTCCTGTGCTCTGAACATCTACCGTTTTGTATTGGCTGTTTCTACATGATTGCTTTCTCGAAACTAGGTGTTACCAGGCTCCGTCGTTTAGCGTTCTATTGCCTGGGGCCAGCAGCAGTCATAATGCTGATGAGGTGTTGTAGTGTCATTGGCATCTATCTTTGACTGGTTGAGCGTGTAAGAGTCTGAGTGGGGCCGATGTTGTCCTTGAGAATTGGTGGTGGGAGACGAGGCACACTTTCGTGTCCTAGAGGGTATGGGATGAAAGCTTCCAAAAGCCCTACCCTGATCCCTTTGGATCTTCTCCAATAAGTCCATCGCATCTGCCTGTTGGTAGATGATATCGAAGAAGGAGTTCTGGCCCGTGTTATGCGATAGCATGCTTTCTCCACACTTAGCAACCATTCGGCCGTGATATTGCAAATTCTATCCCTTCAAAAAGACCCACCCTAAAAGCTCTGTGAGTATGAGTATCCGGATAAGACATCTGTGGATATATTGAAGGCCGACTGGCCCAATGGCAAGGCGCTTGACTACGAATCAAGAGATTGCAGGTTGTGAGTTAATCTTGAATATGCTGTTCCAGAATCGCATTCTAACTTTACCCAGCGATCCCTGCGTCGGTCAGAAAACTTCTTTTGCTTCGACCCTTGGCTGGAACAAGGTTAATTCAAATAGTCCCATGCTCTGATAGCAGGAATCTCTAAGTCCTGGAAGAATTCTCTTCCTTTTGTTTGCTGTGGATTAGGGTGGATGCTGGTAAGCGAAGATATGCTTGGCATAGGTATCTCGTTTGAGTGTCAACAAAGTATAGTGCTTCTATCATACCCTTTCGACACAAAGGTTGGATCAAGTATTCCTTAAGCATTTCAAATTCTGGGCAAAGAAAGGGGTGCATGGTAAGAAAGGAGCAGCACAGCCTCAGCCTCGCATGTAGCCTCGTAAGCCACATATTTTTAGCGTCTCGGGAACGCTAAAACGACCCGCCGAGCTGGCCTCGTGTGAATCGTGTTCATAATTCATCCTGGAGAACGCGACTGCGCCGACGACGACATCTCCCTCCACCTTCTTTGTACAAGCTTCAATTGGATCCGGACCATGTGTATTTAGTTGTTGGTGCCCCGGATTATGTGCGAGGCAAATTCAATGTTGAGAAGCGACCATTTCTTGCGCATTTCATAACAGCACATACCTACCAAGTCGCTCATTCTTTTGCATTTTGAAAACCATGGAAGCTCTTCTTCAGCTTCCGCAGAAGCTGCTGTGGGTTGTCTATGAGAATTTCGAACAGACGCCCTTACCTATTTTGCTTATTCTAGCTATCACCACAGCTGTCACAGCGTTGACTTGCGTATGTACCATGCTACCAACTGCCACAACCTTCGTACTGACCCAGTCTGTAGGCATATGCCGCAGTATTTATTCTTGCACCTACGCCGCGACCTCCATTCTCTTCAGAGAAAACCTACATAACAACTGCCCCAGATGGCTCTACCACGGACCCAAAGCCACTCCCATGCTGGCACGACGAATGGCTTTCCCACCGAAAGGAAGCAGAGAACATAAAAGACTTTTCCGAGAAACACACAGGCGACATTGAGGAAGCAGAGCTGGAAATGAGCGTGGTGATTCCCGCATACAACGAGGAAGAGCGACTGGAGATCATGTTGGAGGAAGCAGTACCTTTCCTGGACGCCGAGTATGGACGGACGCCAAAAGCTAAGGGAGCTTCCAAGGGCGATGCGAGTGGGATGGGTGGCTACGAAATCCTCCTAGTGGATGATGGAAGTAAGGATAGGACTGTGGAAGTTGCGCTTGCATTCTCGAGGAAGCACAAGCTGCATGATGTGTTGAGGATATGCAAGTTGAAGGAGAACAGAGGGAAAGGAGGCGCTGTAACGCATGGATTCAGGCATGTGAGAGGTGCCTTTGCGGTTTTTGCGGATGCAGATGGGGCGTCTGCTTTTGCAGACCTGGCGAAGTTGGTGGAGGGATGCAAGGCGGTAGCCGATCAGCCAAATCGTGCTGTTGCAGTAGGAAGTAGATCGCATCTCGTGGGCAGTGAAGCAGTCGTAAAGGTAAGGGATTTCATATCAACTTTTGTCCGAAAACTACTAACTGGAACCAGCGCTCCGCTATCCGGAATGTGCTCATGCACTCCTTTCATGCTCTTCTCAAAATCCTGACACCTCCAGCTACGTCACGAATTCGTGATACACAATGCGGCTTCAAACTTTTCTCTCGAGCTGCTCTGCCACATATCGTTCCGTACATGCATGCCGAAGGTTGGATCTTCGACGTGGAGATGTTGATGCTGGCTGAAAGCGCACCACCAGGAATCATCATGGGCAGAAAAGGGGAACAGATTGGAACTACGCCTGGTATCAGGGTCGCAGAGGTCCAGATCGGGTGGAAGGAAGTTGGTGGGAGTAAGCTGAATGTCATTTGGGATAGTCTGGGGATGGCATGGGGGCTTGCCTTGCTAAGGGCAAGTTGGATGGCGGGTGTGTACAGGAGGCGGTAGCATGGTCAAAGAGATGTACTCGCGTACTATGAGTCTCATTGTGGTGCTCAGATGCAGATAGGTGTACCTGCCGCTATGGATAGAAAATACCTTCGGCTCGCTTATGCCACCACAACAAACACTGATTTTGTCTTCCTCCTCGAGTCAAGGAGCTATGACAACTCAAGATCTATTGATCATCCTTTGACCACCCTGCTTCTTCCTCCTAGCAGCAATCTCGAAGAACAGACTGCCATCATATATCCGCCTGATATCATCCTTTTTCATCCTCCCATCTTCCGGCCATAGCAAGATCCAAGTCGCAATCCCTACTCCAGTCAGCACTCCCATCACAGCACGAATCTATTCCAGATATTGAGGAAATCGAGTACTCACATTCAAAACCCGCTGCTCCCCATCCAATAGGATCCCCATAAAGTCTCTGTCCCTTCATGTACGTCCAAACCTCTCCCATCGTGATTCCCTTCTTATCACCGCCCGCATACTTGGCAAAGATATCCTCAAACTTCTGCGGTACGAAACGTCCTTCGGTATCATATGTCCCAGAATCGCTACCGTGCTTGTCTTTATGGATGCGGGCGATGTAGATGCGGAAGAATGGGTCGGGGAGATAGTGGCCTGGCGGGAGGGTTGGGTAGGAGAAATTAAGGTGGATGACTAGGACGGAGAGGAGGGAGAGCAGAATGCCGTAGCCGAGGGCGTGGAAGCCGGTGAAGGTGTCGAGGGGCCAGATTATGCCGTCGGAGTCGGGATCGAAGTAGGAGAGGTGTTGTTGGAGGACCTTTAGACTGTTAGTCTTTGAAGGTTTGGACGAGGAAAACATATTGTTTGAAGATATGTGAAATTCGTATGAATACTCACTGTTTGATGTTTATTCCTTCGAGCCCAGTCCCCTTTCTGAGTCCCATTAGGCTCTTCAACAGAAGCTGCTATGTTGGCTCGAGGAGTTCCTATCCCCACATATTAATCAATCAACACTGCATTTCAGATTATTAAGACATGCCTGGATCTTTAAGCATCTCATCGCCCCGTCTTGGAATGAAAGGACGTCTCTGAACAGTAACAGGAACTTCCTCAATCGACACATCAAATCCATCTCTTTCAGTCCTCGCTGGAGCCATGCCTGTTGCTTTAGTAGACTTCGAAGGTTCAATTGGATGATAGAATGCTCTGCCTGTGGAAGTAGTGAACATGGGAAAAGAATGTAAATGTATATCAGAAGACAGGCGCTTTGCTATGCTAATAGGAATGTCTAGGTTGGGCTGTTGCAGTGAACGGTCTCAAAGCTATGCTGCTGGTAGCTGGTGATGACGTAGCGAAGAATGCAGAATGCATGTGAAAATAGACTTCTTTTGAAACGTCATTATTTTCAAGAGGTACAGCGACCCTGAATCGGGTCTTGTGCAGGGGCCGGTATCTGGTATTCCTGCCAAATATGTAACCAATTCCTGACCTAGTTTTATGTCTTGGTGGAGGTGCCGTATCAATGAAGAAAGCTTGGCTTCGCCCACTAATCGAGCTCTCACCCAAATCATCCCTACTACTCGGGAAATCCTAACCCAAAAAACGGCCTCTCTCAGCTCTCTACGACCTTTGAAGACTTCTCTAAGAGCTCCATGAAAATAGGCGGATAATCTATGAGTCTCCTTCATCTAATCCGTGTCTCCTCTCGCGCCAGCCGCCCACTTCTCATATCCTTCAATGAGCTTCGGTGTGATCTGCTTCTTTACCAAATTTATGGCATTCAAGAAGTCCTCCATATGCACCTGCAACTCTTCTCCCGTCTTCTCACACTTCTCCATCACATCATCACAAGCAGTTTGGCAGATACCCACCAGCTCAGCTCCAGAATAACCATCCGTCAGCTCTGCAAGTCTGGAAATGTCGACGTCGTCGGCCATATCCATCGTGCGCTGTCTGACTCTTAGAATCTCCTTCCGACCTTCGAGATCTGGCGGCGCTACATAGAGGAGCTTGTCGAATCGTCCTGGTCGGAGTAAAGCGAGGTCGAGAGCCTGGGGTTGATTGGTAGCGGCAAGGACAGTGACGCCTTTCAACGTTTCAATGCCGTCCATTTCATTTAGTAGTGTAGTGAGGACATTGATACCGTTATTTCTTCCACTTCTCTTACTTCCTATCGACTCGATCTCATCGAAGAAAATGATACTGGGACTTGCTGCCCGTGCTCTTGCAAAAACATCGCGGACTGCTCGCTCAGACTCGCCGACATACATATTAAGTAACTCAGCACCTTTGACAGCGAAGAAATTAAAGCCGACTTCGGTAGCCATTGCTTGTGCACTCAAGGTTTTTGAGCAACCGGGTGGCCCATAAAGGAGGAGCCCCTTTTTAGGCGAGGCGCCTACTCGCTTCATGCGCTCAGGGTTCTGAGATCCATTAGTGAGATGATTAGTACGAGGAAGCATTCATGACTTACTAGTAGAGGGGTTTCAACAGCGCGGCGAAGAGCGTTCTTGACACTATCCTGTCCTCCGATCTCATCCCAACGAACACTTGGAGGTTGAAGTGTGATGTCGTGCATAGCCGTTGGTCGAACCAAAAGCAAAGCTTGTTCAATGTCCTCCTGCGCGAGGTAGTAACCTTGCTCGTTCTCTGCATCACTATCTTCAGCCTTCTCCTCCGCAAGCTCACATGCAGCGTCTAGCAGAGCCACGAGATCCTCTGCTGTATAGGCATGTGTTCGATCGCCGAGCTTGTTGAGCGTCTCGTCACGAGTATCAGGGTGGATTGGCGGTTCGAGTGATTTTAAGATCGCCTTTCGCGCAGCTACATCAGGTATTGGCAGCGAGATTTCTGTTCGGAATCGCCCTCTCTTCTTGAGAGACATTGGGATACTGCTCGAATTCAACGCCGTTGCGACGACCAATACGCGTGGTAGTGACCTTCCTGAAAGGCACTGCGCAAGTACGTCGAGCTCTTCGCCAATGGCCTTTGCCATACTGCTGGATAAAGCATCCTCTTTCGACACTAGAGATTCTAGGTCATCAATGACAATGATGCTAGGCTGGCTGAGCTTGGCATCCCTGAAAGTCGACCTGACATTCGCGAGCTTCGCATCGCTCTCAAGACGAAGAACATTCTT